TGACGTCACTAAGTTTTATTAGTATAAATACACAGGTGATTGTTCAGTGAAATCAACGTTGCGTTACTGACGTCACTAAGTTTTATTAGCATAAATACACAGGTGATTATTCAGTGAAAATCTAGCGCGCTGCTTGGTCGAGAAACTTAGATTATAACGCGATAATCACCTCTAGTAATCCAAAATAATCCAAAATGGCGGCCAGCCGCTTTGTTGCTGTTACCTAATTTCAAATGTGTCTTTTATCTTCTTTTTTCTTTTTTTTTTTTGAAAGAATCCCCTGTGTATTTATACTAAAACAATTATTCACCTCAGGCTCAGTGAATAACGGGAATAATAACCTCAACTTCGTTTCGGTTATTATTCCCCGATCTCACTTCGCCTTCGGCGAATAATTGTTAATCWGCATATACCAACTTGTGTGCTTCCTAAGAACGCGCGCGCTCATTGGTTAATTGGAGGTGAATATTGTACGATATTCACCTCTGAATCTCGGAATATTGGGTCGGCAACAAAATGGCATCTGCCAGCAATCGTTTTGCTACAATTTCCTCGAAGACTCGCGTCTTGGTAAATATTCCCCGATATTCACTTTTAACTCGCTCACRATAACTCGTTTCAACGCTTCGGGTATCCACGAGTTAAAATTTAGCTAAATACAGCTATTTCAAAAAAGATGCTTGGTAAAGACATTGTTGCTTGTTGCATACAAAGCTTGTTATATTTTGTGGATCATACATGTACTATGTAAATAATGTCAAACGRAAAAAAACGTGCAGATAACTTCAAACCATATTAATTATTGTGGCCTTYGGTTGATTGCATCCGAATCGCGGCACATAGTGCAATCGGTCCTTGCTATGCAACATGCAGCAAAACCCTCACCAACCGTCTYGTGGATACGCCAAGCCTTGTGAAACGATTTATCAGTCACTAACTCACATGTGTTAGCCTCTACAGGCTCTGAACTGAACAAAATCTCGCAATTCATCCACACCAAACTTCCTGTTGGTACTTCTAAAAAAGTTCAGAATTCATTAAAGCCACAGAAAAAAGCACTTCGGCATCTTACAAAGATGACGTCACACTTATCAACCAATCAGCGCCTATTTCAAAAAACGTCATCGCAAAAGGCGATAGGCGATAGGCCAGGAAATGGTTTCGTCGACTACAACTGYAACACTGATTTAATCAATCTCAACACTAAAATCCATGTTCTTGACGAGAATGAGAAGCAGAAACAAAAGTCATTAAAGCTATTCTTGGATCTTGGAATGACCTATTTCTTATTGCCTTTCGCCTATCACCCGGCTACTGCCAGTATGCCTCCCTGCGGGGGAGGCAAGGTAGAATCAGCTATTTATATCGGGACATTAAATATCACTGTTCGATGTGGGAAGATGTCTAGCACTGAGCATGCTTACACTAGCTTATATTTTTGCCGGACTATTTATATCCAAAGAATCAAGGAAAGATCAATGCAGTTAGTTTTTTACCTTTTCTTCTAAAGACTCATTTTTTTTCCATAGTTCTTCYTTCTCCCCCATTAGATCATCGTACTTTCTCTTCCATTTCTCTTCACTTTGTGCAACCATTTTGGCGGATTTTTTGGTCCATCTGGCTTCAATTTCCCTCTCTAGTTCAACAATCTAAACAAACAAACAAACAAACACGTTGTGGGTTTTTTCAAAATCCGCTCTTCTCTACCTAAATATTTATTTAGGTAGAGAAGAGCGGATTTTGAAAAAACCCACTAAACGGCCTCAAATCGGCGCTGAAACTTCGCCAGAAGACTGAACAAAGTAAAAGCAACAACTGGAGCAAGTTTTGAGGCAAATTGTTAAGTGAAACATTTTATTTTCATGACCTTAATCATAACTCCCATACATTCCCTTATAAACAATGCCCAGGAACCTTGTTTGGGCTGCCTGTGGCTGATTACATGTGATTATGAAGTGATCGAAAATCCAAAATTGCTTCCTCTGCAAACAACGTGAGTGGATTCTTCCAGTGACGTCACTTGGCGAATGCAATGGATTCCATGGTTACGGGAATTACCCAAAACGATTGGCTGACAAGCGTTATCCGAAAAATGCGAAATCTAGCCACCTCGATAGCTCTTCACGAGCTAAAAAGGATCAATTAGACTGGTTTTGCTGGTATTACGTGCATGTTTTAGACTTGTGACAGTTTATCAGTTATCTTCCCAGGCAGTTTTAAAGAAAGAAGACTTGCATCGTTTTGAACAATAACAATCTCGATTTTCCGGAAAGAAGAAAATCGGTAGTGAATAAAGTTTCATCTAGCAGCTCTTGTTCGAGGTAATATACAAAAGCCATGTATTAAGTTTGTTGTTGTTTAATACCCTTGAAAAAAAAAAAAAATTTATTTTCTTCGATCGAGTATTTTCTTCGAATGTTTTGTCTTTGCATTTGAACTTTTAGCTTTTTGTAAATTTGAATTTTGAAAGAAAATTACACTATCTACACTGTGGAATACTATAGGTTTGGCTTTCTTGAGTTGAATAAAATTAGTTTCTAATGGTTTGACTATTTATTCGTTTATAGTTTGTTAGATTATGGAGATTTTTGAATTGTCTTTCGGGTTTGTGACACGTACTGTGAATAAAAGTAAGCTTTATCTTAACTCTTTTTCCTCTTTATAAAACTACCTTCAATTGACTTAAATGAAAAAAAATATATATAAAGTTTTACCTTCTTGTTGTTGTTGTTGTGTTGTTGTCGTTGTTGTTGTTGTCGTCGTTGTTGTTGTTGTTGTTGTTGTTGTTGTTGTTGTTGTGTGAAGTATACGTTTGAATTTTGAAATCAAAATTATCAGAATTGCATAACTTACTCAAAAACAGAATTTTTGCGGGTAATCTAGCGGGCAGGTCAGGTCAAATCAAGGACGTACTGGCCGTATCTAACTCAAACGCGGAGACTTAAGTGACATAGCATAGTACTTATGAAGACTATACTTATTGTAGGTGTGTCCTTTTTTGAATTTTCTTCGTCTAATTTCGACTTATTCCCACATGATTCAAAGCCTATAAACACTTGTGAAAACAATTTTTATCTTTTCCTATCCATTCATTGATACGTCATATTTTGATTTTTCCTATTATATGGCAAAAATTTCAAAATTACCCAACTAGATCGCAGAGAAATGTCCGGACTTTCTATTGTTCATCAGTATGGATAAAGAAAATCTTTAATAAGCGAACGGCTGTTGTTTTTGTTTGGCGAAAAAATGGAGGAAAATCGCCGTCGAGTGGAATTTTTTCAAACAACGCTGAAGACAGATGCATAATGAGTACGACACGCAAAGCATGCTAGTGAAACATCCTCCTTTGGCAGCACCATCACTAGGCAAACTAAACCTATCACTAATATCACCATCTACGCTACAACCTGAAGTAGCTTCATTGACATTTACAGGATGTAAAACTGCTGTAGCATCCCTGTCTATTATATGGCTCGAGCAYGTTAATATGACACAACTGTGTCCTCTTACGTCTATCAGGAGTTACTAATATGTAATTTAGGTCACTTAGTCTCTTCTCAATAATGTAGGGTCCAAAGTGCCTAGCTTGAAGGGGGTTACTAGTCATTGGTAAAAGAGCATGAACCTTTTGTCCTGGTTTAAACTTACGCTAACAGCATTAGTTTTATATCCTGTCTTCATAGTTTCTTGAGCTGATGCTAACTTAGCTCTAGCTAGTTCACAGGCATCATTAAGCTTAGTAGTACAAAGAACTGAAACGTACTGCAATAGATTTTTGCTATAGTATTTTAGGTTTTTGTTAAGGTATATTAGCGGAGCACCATACTTAAAGTGCACATGAACCCTTCAACAATACTTTCAGTGACTGATTCTACATGAATTAAATAGTTGAATGGTAAAATATTTCTTGATTTGAGTGATACATCTCTAAGTTATGACAATATCCGCTTCATCTCGAATAAAAATAATTGAATACTTTTTTGCCGATCTTATTTTTACTCTTCAGTTTCATTCGAATCCGGCTCCCTCTSACTCGCGTATCGGAAGCTYCGCTTTTAGGCAGTGCCTAAAAATATTTAATGAAAATACACAGCTGATTGTTGAAAATCTCGCGCGCTGATTGGTCGTGAAACTCACACTATCGCACGATAATCCCCTCCGGCGATAATCCAAAATGGCGGCCAGCCGCTTTGTTGCTGTTACCAGGAAAAAATGTCTTCTATCTCCTTTTTTTTCTTTTTTTTTGAAAGAATCACCTGTGTATTTATACTAAAACAATTATTTGCCTCAGCCTCAGTGAATATCGGAGAATATTTACCTTGCCGCTCGAAGACTCGCGTCTCGGTAAATATTCCCCGATATTCACTTCGCCTTCGGCGAATGATTGTTAAATATTACCTTCCTTAAAGGTATGTGATACAATATATCGCTTTTACTAGACGTTTCTTTTGTACGCTTTCCTTTCTGAATGGCTCCTGGATTTTCATCTTCGAAACTACATATTCAAACAACTCGCCTGTCACATTTAATATTTTCACCACAGTGGCACAGAGTGTCAAGAAGGCATAACTTTATTATTATAGCTCCTTTAGGAGTCTTATTGTTCATTGAAGAAAGAAGAAAAGGTCTGGAATTAACTGAATTTAGCAGGAATTCATACGGTTAAAGGCAGAGCTTCAAAGAGACAACTTATCGCTCGCCATGCCAGTCCCAGTCTCATTACGAAGACTCGCTCGTTCGTCTTATGATACTTCACAACTCGTGATTAAAAATAGGCGCGCGCACTTTCTAGGTTTTTTTTTTTTTTTTTTGCTTATTATATTCATTAAAGCAGTATTTCAGTTGACAAAGTAAAATTAAGAATAATCAAAAGGCTATATTAATTCGATATTTAAAAACGCTGTTTTACAAATAAAAATAAAATCGTAATCTTTTCAACTTTTGTTTTAAAGCGATACGCGCAATGAGATTGGTTGGGAACAGTGAACGAACGAAAGTATATTACCCAGTTTTTTACTTAGTAAATCTCGGTATATCTATGAAACTAATTACGTCAGACCACGTACCTGTTCTGCAGATGCATCACCAGACTTTCTCTCTCTACGATGTCTGTCTTTTAAKGCTTTTATTTCTTCCTGCATCGAAAAGTTAATATGAAATGCAATATTACATTTTTATTTCAGATTAGACAAAGCTAAGAGACTAAATTGGCGTGAATGATAAGTTTTCCTTTTKTACCAAATTAGAGTATTTAGGGTGTAGAGTGACCACAGTAAATCCGTGAAACTTTAGTAACACTAAATAGCACAATTTCATGCAAATTCCATTGTTTTCTATTGTTTAACTAGCACTATTTTGTACTATTTAGTAAATGGTGTTTCACGGATTTACTGTGGTCACTCTACCATTAGCTTTAAGTTACTATTGTTTTTTTTGTTTATTGGCTTAAGGTGGCTGGCTACTTTGGTAAATAATAAACAGRAAATTGAAACTTTTTTAACCTGAAATTTAATGCTTATGGGATATCCCGAGCTTGTTTTTGAGATTATCACTCCGGAATAACATGCGTTTGTACAATTTTCGAAGACAAAATGCGAAATTCAAGCTCTGTAAAAAAAATTCATATTGAACCGAATCTAATGAAGAAACACAAGTAATTTTCTCCGAACACGTAACTTACGCTATATTTATGAAATACYGATAAAAKTTGTYTTAATAAACTATTGTAGACAATGAATAAGGTGGAAAACTAGTGAAAACTAGTCTAAACTGCGTCGGTGTTTTCAGTAAAACAGTTGATAGATAGATAATWTGTAACACCGTATGGTATGTAAAAATGAAACTGACGTTTCGGACGTTAGTCCTTCATCGGAGTAAACGAGAGATGAATGTGGAAATGTGTTTATATAGTGAGCGTGGATGATAAATAACCAATGAGAGATAAGTATAAGGGAAAACAAAAGGAAACAAGAGGATCGAAAGTAACAATAGACTAATTAAACGAGAAGCGTTCGTTCATGCCAAGGGGATTAAGCGTGCCCAAGGTGTGAATTAGCCTCATTTCTTTAGTTTTGCGGCAATCGTTACCGCCTTTAATTAGGGATAAGCCGAATACAACAAAATCAGAAATGGAATGGTCGGTAGAATTAAAATGACGGGAAACTGGTTTGGAAGAGTCGTTTTTCCGAATATCATTGAGGTGATCCCTTATACGGTCACCTAAACGACGACCAGCTTTACATCGGAGAAACTGGTCGTCGTTTAGGTGACCGTATAAGGGATCACCTCAATGATATTCGGAAAAACGACTCTTCCAAACCGTGCTTTATATCAGTGCTGCTGATATAAAGTAGTATGCAGYATTACATGCATATGCACGTGCATTATTCGTACACGTAAAGAAATCTCTCATAATAACCAGGTAATGCGGGTTTCAAGGAAGCTTACTTCTTGCTGATTCTTCAATTCTTCCAGCTCTTCTTCAAATTTTCTTCTGTCCTGTCCCTGCTTTTTCTTACGTTCAGATATACTCTATTAAGTCAAAATAGCTCTTTAAGATTATGTAAGTCTACACGATATGTATTATCTAAGATTATAATGACACCAGTAGGCAAAGAATGACTATGAAGAGGTTGCCTTTATATGCACTAGTAAAAGCACAGCTACTACTGGCAACTGAATGATATAAACAAGATGGAAAAATAGACCCCTTGCAGCAATTTCCAGAGCTACTGAACTCAGGAGACAAAACAATAAATTTCAATTCTAAGGWTAAAAATTGATTGCTTTGTCCTCTGGCTGCATTGGGAATATCCTGCAAGGGGTCTATAAAATTAAGGACGCCGACACCTCTCATAGACTGAAGTACCTTTTCTAAACTTTCTTTTTCGTGTCTCAGATCGGACAGCTCTTCTTCCATATGATCGGCTCGGCTTTCGAGTATTTTTCGTGACTGTTTCTCTTCTTTCAGATCCTGTTTCAACCTCTTAGCTAAAGATACTTTCTCTGGTGCAAAAACAATTATTGTATCAAGATTTAAGAATGCTTCGTTCAGAAGAATTATGCTGTTAATTGACAACAGTTCACTTCAAAACAAGCTTTGATGGAGACTATAATTGTCACCTGGACTATTACAAACAAAACATCGGCTAAYGAAACTTCTAATATATACAGGTAAAAGTAGGTCATTTTGGTCCGTAGTTCCTTCAATTATTATTAGTTGAAGCTGAAGATATGTCCACTAATACCCTTTCCCTCAAGTGTGAGGTCGCTGGGGGAATACTGTTGTTAAGGTCATGGGGAGCCCACTTTAGGTAATAGTGAAAAATGAGGCCCGCATCTMCTTCGAGTGAATTGCCCCGGATTTCTAACGGCAACATTCGTAAATACACAGAAAACGTCGACTTTAGTAGCACGGAACAAGGCCAAGAACAACAATAGTTTTGAAATATCTGATGAAATACAGTAAAGTGAGCTCACTATGGTTGAGATAAATGTTTCATTTGCATATCTTAAAAGCAGAAACTAGTGAAACATTATTATAACACTGACAAATTCGGGCTGTGAATCCTCTTTTATGATTTTCGCCCGAGCTAACCTTATGGTGGAAGAGTTAGCAGGGCAAGTTAATAGGTGTACGAAAAAAACCCAGAAGTTTGAAAAATGTTATATTGGCATACGCATTTTGATGCCGTAACTCACATGAATAAAACATGTCTACTAAGAAGCGCACTTAACGCATGTCATTGTACCTTCATGTAGTTCTTTAATGTGGTCCAGCTCTTCTTTGTATTTATCAGCGTTGGCCAAGGCTTTATTCGCTTGGGATTTCAACTCAGATTCTTGTTTTCTTAAGGTAGATAGTTGACCATCAGTTTCAGCAATACGAGTCTTCAGCTCAGTTAATTCAGCTGTTTGCAAAATCTGACAATTGTTTCAAGATAATTCAGTTGAAGTTGTACATCTAACGTAACGACTAGACAAAACATTCATAATAATTTGTTTTGTCAACCATAGATTTAATAACYATAATCCGAGCTTTCGGCCTACTCGGCCATCCTCGGGGTAATGAAAGAACGTTTTTTTCATTTCCCTGAGAATGGCCGAGTAGGCCGAAAGCTCGGATTATGGTTATTAAATCWATGGTTGATAAAAYAAATTATTATGAATGTAACAACAACCAACAAGGAACTATTTGATTTAGAAAAAACATGTCAAGCGTTAGTCTCCCCCACAGCCGCTTTCAGTGTCGTCACGCAACGCTTTCTCCCCTGAGTAGCTACTTGCTAATTGCTCGCGCCCCACTAACAAATCACGATATTTTGCTCAACCCCCGTCCAATAATTGCTTTTTATTGTNGTCGTCACGCAACGCTTTCTCCCCTGAGTAGCTACTCAGGGGAGAAAGCGTTGCGTGACGACACTGAAAGCGGCTGTGGGGGAGACTAGTCAAGCGTCTGCAAAAAGTTAAAGTATTATTATTAAAGTTATTTTTCCCGTCGTTTTGACTGGCCGATGGAACTGCAAACAACTGCCTACAAATAATATTCTGCTTATGTGCATTATGGTAAAAAGCCATTTTGCTGCAAATAAAAGTCTGCTCATGCGCAGTAACGTTGCAAATATCAACATGGCTCACTTCCTTTTGACTAACTATGTTTGAGAGATACGAAATCAACCAAAGCACAAAAAGATAGCGGAAAAAATAATTAAAATGAAAATATTAAGCTCGATTATCACGAAATATCTTTTTTTTTTTTTTTACAATTATTTGCCTTTGCCTTCGGCATCGGCAAATAATTGCTCGCGCCCCACTAACAAATCACGATATTTTGCTCAACCCCCGTCCAATAATTGCTTTTTATTGTGTCAACAACAAGTGTCTAAACTGTTTATTGATTCCATTTTCTTGAATAAGCGAATCAACTGAAGCTTAGGCAACCAACCAGTTTGTACAGGAAAAGTCATAAAGGAGGGGGAGTGGCTTTTCTCTATACATAATCTGGATTGGGAGAACCTACATAGCACTCAGTKGATGGAATGTATTCAGAAAATCTATTGTATTCTATGGTCGTTCTATCTATTGTATTATTAGGTGTGATTCGAGTGTGCCTAATGGTCGTGGGTCGTGTATTGGCCTTGCTGTTTGAACATAAATTTAGCGAAGAAAAAAAAAAGAAGAAAAAAAGAAACGACAAAAAACAAAAACCACTAGTCCTCTACCTTGTTCATTGAAGTCTTCAATGGACTTTATCCGGATGTTACCTAGAAACTAGGACAGCAAATTCGCGTTTTCGGCATTACGTTTCTCCTCGTTCTATGTGTTTCGTTGCGAGAAAGCTTGTTTTACTATTTCTTAGTAATTCTCTTTGTGTTAATATGGAAATCCTGAGTATACGACTTGAAAGTGCGGGGTTTACCGTTACCTACGGCTCCAAGGTTGATGAGGACTGCTTTTATACAGCGGCAGCGTATCAGTTGGGCTTAAATACCAAGAAGGTCAATGAAGTTATATTCAGTAACTTAGAAAAGAACCGATTTGATGTAAGTATAATCAAAACGATGTTTTATTCTTGATTTTGCGGGTCCATGCCTAAATTATAAGGAAAGTAGAAATTCCAATAGAGTCAGCTCTTTAAAAATTATGTCCACCAACTACATGGAATGATGAATAATCGCCGGTTTAGGAGATTCCAACACGTGTCTCCATCTTCATCTTCATCAGATCGCAGATCTTCCTCCATACTCCTTGACCATCGTCCTAACATGTCCATAATGAGATTGTATTGATGTACTTTGTACCCAGGATATTGATCTTGTAATTCCCATCGCAGCGGACCGTAYTTCACCGTCTTCTTTTCATCTTTCGCCTTTCTTTTCTCTATTCTCCACCCAYGGGTAGCTCATCACCAGAATCACAACCTCCTTGCTTTTGTGATTTATAATTTTAACATCAATTCCGTTGGCTTTTAACTCGTGGTTCTCGCCGTAAGTTGGAATGTCCCAGAGTGCATGAAGGTCATTGGTAATAGCGGAGCTCCCTCAACCATCAAGTTGATTTTTCATGGCTTGGCTGACGTCACTTCCGTCCGTCCGTCCGTCCGTCCATCCGTGTACACAACACAGGAAACTCGCTTGATATCAAAGCAAAACTACTCACAAATGCGGCTCTCAAATGCACAGAAAAAATCGCTTTAGGACAAGTTATAGACCAAAAACAATTTAAAAAAAACTTTCATGTAGTCAAAGATGGATCAAGAAGTGTTCTTCAAGAATTCAGGTGTGTGTTTTTTAGCAAACAATCGTATATATATTTTTTTTTGACAAGCATTTTTCTCGACGAATCGACAAATCAAAGACTTTCTCTCAAAACTTATTATATTTCTACAGATAAGCTTGATTTTGTTTTAATGCTAGAGGAAATATAACACGGAGAGCATATTACGACAACAAATATTCGTCCTTTATATAGCTTGTAAATCTTTAACAATTCGGTTGTTTTCAACCAACTATTCTAGTTTTTCGTTCCAGAAAAATGTACCAGCTTTGTTTGCCTCCTATCGCGAGGTCCCATCGGCAAAACAAAGAAGACTTTCATTCAATAATGTTATATCTTTCCACACATAATTTATTTTAATCATTGAATGAAATATAATTTTACACCAAATATTCAACTGTTTATTAAAGCTGTTCGAGCAAGTATGATTATAAAAATGAGCTTAAATTTGCGTTGATGAGAGATGTTATTGTATAAAGACCTTGTCTTTCTAATTTAATTACAAGAAATTCGTCATTTTGTATTTCGCATTATTTTCTATTTTGTCTCAGTTGTGATTTCAATGAAAGACATCCGAGGTAAATTTCACTAAGCTTGATATTGTATTGCATCATCTGTAGTTTTTTTTTTATTCGTCCTTTTTTTTTTAAGAAAAAGAGATTTAAAGCCTAAAATTGTCGGCCTTGGAAAATTTTGTCGAAGAAAATAACAAAACTAGCCACTGAGGGTGGTGGTGAGTTGTGTACAAAATTCCTAAGTGTGAGAGTATACTCAGGTAAAAAAAACAAAACAAAACAAAACAAAAAAACAATGTACTGCATTTTGAATCGATTTCACTGCATGGTTTTTATTATGGGAGAAATTATCTTTATCTCGAATAAAAAATAATTGAATTTCCCCGATCTTATTCTTACCTTTCAGTTTCATTCAAATTGTTCTCCCTGTGACTTCCGTATTGGGAGCTCCGCTTTTAGGCAGTGCCCAAATATATTTAAAACACTCTCYAATAATTCATAAGCTTATGGTCCAATTGRAGCCACCATACACGTCACGCGCATGAACCTTTAWACCCGATAAAGTCCTCTTCATTAGTATTCAAGTGATTTTATATAAAGACACATGTTTCTTTATATGAAGACACGTGATCTTTATATAAAGACCACTCGGATACTATGAGGATGACTTCATCAGGGATGAAGTATGCATCCAAGTTTAGATGAAGACATAGAGCTTCATCAAGGTCATAGTCAACCCTAATGATCTTTGACTAACGTGCCTGTCTTTGCATTGGCACGCAATATACAATGTGTGGGAGCTTCTATTGAATCTGGTTGCGCATGCCTTATTGTGTGTAACTTTCCTTGCCATGCTTCATCACGTACCGTCTTTAGCAGCTGTTCTTCAAACTTTGACTTTAATAGTCCCTTTGCCTTGTTCATCTCCTCTGCATCATCTTTACATTTTATTTTTACTTTTATTATTATTATTATTATTATCATTATTATCATTATTATTATATGCATTCCAATGCAGCTTATTATCTTACTTGAATGCGCTTGTGTGCTATTTGTCGCGTGTCTTTTATTTTTGTCACTTTGACAGGTGCGTGATYGTCGAGTACCCCAGAGAAAATCGAAAATATCGACGATATGGAATGGTACATTTGCTAAGTCTTTAGCGATTTTTTTCTGGATCGTAGTCGAAACTGCAATTTCAATATATGAAGTGCGTGGGTACAAGGTTATGGTCACCGATGGTCGAGGTTTTAGCTTCGCAAGCGTCAATAATGTTCTCGTTGGTTGTCAGAGCCACGTCGATTAAGTATTTCGACTTGGGTTCCTTTACGAGTTGAGATAAGTTGAAAGTCGAGCAAAAGTCAGCTAAAATATGGTCATTGCGAAAGTTTCCAAGCATGTTCATGTTCATATCTCCCATTATATGTCCAATCGTATTATGTCCAATCGTATTATGTCCAAGTGTACGACCACAACAGCCAGAAAAATATGCGCTAGCTCAGCGTGCTTTCAAGACAGGCCACGGRCTATCGTGGGAAGACAAAAATCATCGGAAATGAAGAAAGAYACCATCAGAGAAAATGTCTAGAGTCTCGACCTATCTCGAGCAACAAATGTTCATTAACAATTCATTAACGATAATTCATTATATGTSGGATCGCATCTCTAGCTTGGACTCAGTTGATGATAATGACTAGGATAATAACGTATGGATTACATTTGCAAGTCGTATTTACCTTCTCTTGTTCAAGTGCAAGGACTCTTGCTTGGTTTTGAGCTGAAGTATGCTGCAGTGAGTCACTGCTTTGCTCCATCATCACGTTACTTTTTTCAAGAAACCTATAAAAGATGTGAAAGCACTTATTTTWTAAGGCGTATCTATGCTAATAACTTAGGCAGCCTTTTGATCCAAATTTTCGTTTTGGGTTAACACTCAAAACTTTTTTTAACAGTTAGAAACTGATGTACTATGATAAAATACTTGTTTGAAGCGGCATTTTCAATTGTACAAAGATGTTTTGTTGTATTTGTGTTATGTAGCTTTGTCAGACTTTTTTTTATAGAAAATGTATGGCAAATAAGCAAATGAAGGCCTAAACCTCATTTTCGATTCAAATTTTTGCTTTGGGTTAAMACTTTGATTCCACTTTCATCTGATCGGGCATCTCCACTTCCAAACAAGTTAAACTTTCTGAATAACAAGATTTTAGCATCGTACAACAGCCTTTCTTCAAGAAAATGGTTTTTGACGCTCGCTGCCTGAATACGAAAAGAATTCTCTCTTAAAAGATTAATTCAGAAAAAAAAATTTACTTTTGGTTTTTCTGAAGCAATTCTGAAATCTTTTCATTTAATGCTTCGATCTTGACTGTCTTCTCAGTGTTGTCTCTTTTTAACTTCTCGTTCTCCTGCATAGAAAAATGGTGTGAAAAATGATTTTAATGCTTTTAATTTWTTTAAGTGAGCAAAGTTATGATAAATGTTTCAATATGTCTTGCAGTCATTATTTCACAATCAGCCTTGCAAGATGACCTAGTTTTCGTTAGCTCGTCAGCCATTATGAGAACGGTGTATAGATGAGAATAAAAACTTGAATAYATTTGCGATAACATTTCATGTATATATATTTATGAAATTCATGAATAATTCATGAAACACAACAGAAATCACGACCGTGAAGAGTGTTGTAAATCTCATACAAAACTGTGTTTATTTGCATAAACTTTAAGTTGGATTTTTTTGGCCAAATTCACTTTAATTTTGAAAATTTTAGTGAAACACAAAGGAATTAACGTAGACGTTTGATAAGTCATATAGAGTATTCGCGTCCGTGTTGTATCAGATATACAATCACTCGGCTACGCCTCGTGGTTGTATATCTGATACAAAACGGCCACTCATACTGTATATATTACATATATGTGTATATATATATATGTGTGTATATGTAATATATACAATATGAGTGGCCATGTTGTATCAGATATACAACCACGAGCCGAAGGCGAGTGATTTTATATCTGATACAACACGGACACGAATATTGTATATGACTTATGAAACGTCTAGTTGTATACATTCATGTTCTACTATAATTTTAAAGATGAAATTTAATTTGGCTAAAAAAATTGGAGTTAAAGTTTATGCAAATCAGGACGATTTTGTATCAGATATACAACCTCCTCCACGGACAATGATTTCTATTGTGTTCCATTAATTATTCATGAGGTTTATAAATGTGTATATATATGTGTGTGTGTGTGTGTGTGTCTATGTCTACAGTCAATTCAAAAAATGTTGTCGTCGACCAGCTCAAGCCTACGCGACTGGACCGAAAGGAACTCTGGGTAGCAATCATTGGAGCCGAGTTGACTTCATAATTTTATCTGACTAGTTATGCCTGGTTTACAGCAGGAACCTTCGTAGGCGAGCGGGAAGTGTTGAAGGAGACTTTTTTTTAATGCCTTCATATTTTC